AGAATACAAACAGAAACCTAGAGTAGTAAGTATTCTAACCTTCTCAGCTTTCTCTTTAGATATGAGTTACTGAAAAAGCATTACTACAGAGTCCGTAGGTTATATTGGTGAGAAAAGCTCATAGAGGAGTATATTACAATAAGTAATTGTTTGCGTAAAAATGCTAGCCCTCAACAAACTATTATGAAACAACTAAAGGTAGCTTGAATAAGCATATTCCCTACTGATAATTTAATCGTATCATCTACAACACTCTACTCAATAGTACAAATGACAAATATCTGTCACGTGTCACCTCCGGCTGAGCATACCAATTCATATATATTTGTCCAAAATTTTTCTAAATAATAATGGCAATAATTTAATAGAACCAATAAAAATAGCTTTTTAGGTATAGGCCAATGGTGTATAAAAGTTTGCCAAATGTCCATTGATATAAACTAATACTGCAGAGTCACCGATGTCAATGAATACCATAAGTTTTCGGTTTAATATCTTTGGTATAACATAAAATGGTTAGTCAACAGAATAGTTTCTTTCCGTAACATTGTTTGAATGTAAATAATTGCATGTAATTTACGAAGACTTGTTACTTCCTTCTTCGATAACTAATTAGTTATCAATAGATTCTTTGATATTAGGCGTAAGCTATAATCCTAATCACTATATTTATGAATTTGCTCAATAATATAGAATTCATGTTTATCTACGAGCAATTTAAATGATAATGAAGGTTAATTTTAATTTTTTTTTGGTAGTTTTGATAAGATTATTCACTAACTTTAATAACATTCACTGAAACTTTTTTTGAAAAATTTCCTAAATCATTTAATTTACATCATCATCAAAAAGACATTGGATACTGAATAATTAATCGAATTTCATCACGGTGAACGATAATTTAAGCAGATCAATCGGCTGATTGGTCCTTACGTTGCAGCTTGACTGTGTATAGTTATACATTCTTCCTTCTTAATTAAGTCTTTTCAAATTTTATATTCATCTGTTAAGATCTGATATATTCTCTAAGTGTGTAACTATTGGAATTCTTATGATGGATTAAATTGCAAAATCGTGCACGGAGGACAGCTAACAGACTCATTCAAGTTGAAGACCGGTGTCAGGCAAGGTTGCTTACTCTCACCCTTTCTCTTTCTTCTAGTGAGCGACTGGATTATAAAGACGTTGACATCTGGATGAAAGCTTGGTATCCAATAGACAGCTAGGATACGGCTGGATGATTTGAACTACGCAGATGGTCTGGCTCTTCGATCGCACACGCAACAACAAATGCAAGAGAAGACGACCAGTGTAGCAGCAGCCTCTGCAGCAGTAGGTCTCAACATACATAAAGGAAAAAGCAAAATTCTCCGATGCAACACAACATGCACCAACCGAATCACGCTTGATGGAGATACCTTGGAGGACGTTAACACCTTCACATATCTTGGCAGCATCATCGACGAGAAAGGTAGATCGGATGCAGATGTGAGGGCGCGGATTGGCAAAGCGAGGGCTGCATTTCTACAGCTGAAAAATATCTGGAACTCCAGACAACTTTCAAACAAAACCGAAATCAGGAATTTCAATACAAACGTCAAGACAGTTCTACTGTTTGGAGCGGAAAGTTGAAGACCAGAAGATACAAGTATTTATGAACAGTTGTCTACGCAAAATACTTCGGATTCGTTGGCCAGACACCATCAGCAACAACGTACTGTGAGAGAGAACAAACCAGATTCCAGTGGAGGAGGAAATCAGGAAGAAGCGGTGGAAGTGGATAGGACACACACTACGAAAAGCACCTAACTGCGTCACAAGACAAGCCCTCACATGGAACCCTCAAGGTAAAAGGAAAAGAGGAAGGTCAAGGAACACATTACGCCGAGAAATAGGGAAAGACATGAGAAGAATGAACAAAAATTGAACAGAATTGGAAAGGGAAGCCCAGGACAGAGTTGGTTGGAGTAAACTCGTGGGCGGCCTATGCTCCATTGAGGGTAACAGGCGAAAGTAAGTAAGTAAGTAAGTAATGAATAGTAGGATTTATTTGTATTAAAAAAATATTTCGGTTATCTCAGAGTAGAAGCGACAATTCTAAAAATAATTTAATTATTTCCCAAAATTCATTCATCCTTCAAAAGTAAGATCCAATTTTAACGCTTTTGTAAGCAGAAATAAATTTTTCCACAATCAGTAAATTATACTTCCTTATCATTTCTTTCGTACTCGTATTCACAAATATTTGTGCCAGTTTATGTACAAAACTGTAAATCATAATTAATTCACTATAATACATAATGAGGAATGTGTATTGATATCACTTCTATTTTAAGAGTTCCAATAAAATACGTTATTAGTTAAAATTTTAGTACATTCGTCTTATTTTTACTAAGCAAACTTAAAAGTACGTAAGAAAAGTAGTAGAAATTATTGAACTTCCATTTTGTTAGGAAAGAAAATGTACTATATGGGTGATTGATCTCAAGAAGTTCATAAAAAATTTTTCATACACAAAAAGTAATTACCCAAAATGTGAATATTGATTGGGAAATGGTTACCAGCTTTTATTCTAAATTTTTTAGATTTACATACCTTTTTCATAAGTACACAATAAACAAATATGGAAACGTGTATTTGTAATTTGTTTGCTCTTACATTCAATAACTGTGTTCAAATTAGACTCGAAGTCACTTCTCATATACATAAAAATCAATAATTTGTGACGTCCAGTGGTTCAGTCAATAAGAAAATTGAGCAAATGTAACAATGGTAATAGTAGTTTGATAAAGCTAATCAACTCTGTTTAAGAGTCTTCACTTCTTCATATTAAAATGAAATGATTAGCTGCCTTCTACACTTTTTCCATGATATCTCAGCCTTTGAAAAAAAATATAGTTATTATTTATGCCTTAAATATAACAAATATATAGTAATACGATTAATGCTAATGTCGAAATGGGTAGCATATTGAAAAAATGAACTTAGAAAAGTCCTAATAAATCAGATAATAGAAACTCTGTTAATACTTAAACTTCATGCTCAGTAATTCCTTCTGCAACCGATAATGCAACAATCGTACTTATGCCACACATGCTGCTGGTTGACTTAATTTAAAATAAATTTACGAGCTGCATATCAAGACGCAATAGAATAGATAATATAGAGGGTGAATTACTCTATATATATATATATATATATATATATATATATATATATATATATATATATATATATATATATATATATATATATATATATAATCAATTAATGGATATGTGTCCTAAAGTGGAATTTATTCCAAGTTCTCTATAAATACATGATGACCTTAAGAAAGAAATCAAGGCCTTATCATTCTTTAAGCCACTTACCAAATGGACTAAAGGAACTACTAGATTACGCACCATCTACTTAACCTCAACGAGATGATTTTTCTAACTTTCCGCCAAATAAATCTCAGCGAATAAGTTTATCTAACTGAACCAATCAATTTATGGTAAACAGAAATCCCTGGTCCTTCCTGCGCTACAGCTTGTTTAATTGACAGCTCATACGATCAGATAATCAAACCAAACCATAGTATAGTCGTCACTAAAAATAAAGTTAATAAGTATTGAAAACAAGCTATAAATCAATCTTCTGTCCACGGTAAAATTATAATTCGTGGATTCGGTAACATTCACTTACAGTACGTCTCCAGCATCTTTAATGACTAACATTTTTGTTGAATCAGGTTAGTAAACAAATAAGTAACTTTTCCAAACTTTCAAGCTATGATTTAAAAAGTCCATTATTCAATTTATGAACTTTAGTACGATGAATAAATTTATTTAAACAAGATTAATCAGTTAAAATGATTTAAATGTAGAATGATTTTCGAAAATTTTCTCGATAATCAGTGTTCTATACTTCTAATTCTATCATTACAAGTATTCTATATATATATATATATATATATATATATATATATATATATATATATAAAGAGAGAGAGAGAGAGGACATTCATATGTTCTATGATTGTCTCATCAATTATCATTAACGTTTATTAGCTTGCAAATCTAATAGTGATCTTTTATTTTGTTTAAATTTCACAACTTAAACCGTATCTTTGTGATAATATCAGTTAAATGTAAATACGTTTGACTAAAGTTTTTTGATTATTATTGGACTACCATTGGAAACCTGGAAGCATTGGACCGCCATCTCTTCGGCATTAAGCATCCAGGAATTCGCGGACAAGAATTCAAACGAAAATCTTCAGCCCTGAGCACGAACGCCCAACCAGCACGCATTGTCTTCGGTGAGACGTCCAGTGCTTCCAGGTTCCCTAAGCTGATCCAGTATTGACCAGTTCATGATTCCAATGAAACTCAACAATCTCTTCATGATACTGTTAATTTTAAAACATAATATGTCATAAATAGAACTAAATACATGTCCTGCGTTCCACTGTTAGCCACAATCCATCTACTCTATGGTATCTTATTTTTTAACTGCTAGTTTTAAGTCCCTACTAAATGCACCTCAATAACAATAATAATAATTATTATTATCACTCATTTTTACCCAATTAAAAACGATCATTTTATCCGGTGTGAATTTATATCTTATTATCAGCATAAACTGACAATTTGAATGAAAGAGATAGAGAGACAGAGAGGGACAGAAAATCAATAAAGTGCAGGAAGTATGAACTGTTAGGCAATATCAATCCTATATAGTATGTTAACTGTACAAATGTACAAATGCGTATCAAATATTCTATCATTCCCACTACACTTACATCTGTTTAAGCCAATTATATTTAATAGAAAGAACCAATCCAAATTACAATACACAATACATTTATGGGATAATTTGTGATTGTTTAGGACATATTTTGTGCTTTCACCTTCATTGTCGGGAAAAAATAGTCACTTTAAAAAGAGACTGAATCATAAAGTCTATCATAAACATTTATGTTTTTTAGAAAGATTATATTATTTAAATTTTTATAAATGGCTGCTCAACTTTGCTCGATTCGTTTAATTCGTCAAGATACATCAGTTCCATGGGGTTTTCGACTAGAAGGAGGTATTGATTTTGGTCATTCTATCACTATACAACATGTGAATCCTGGAAGTATAGCTGAATACAGTGGACTACGAGCTGGTGATCGTGTAATACGCATTAATCAATCCGAAACTAAATCAATGCGACATGATGATGCCAAAATGGAGATTATTCGATCCAATAATGATTTAGAAATGTTTGTTCAACGTGATGAAGTCATAAATTCGTATACACATCAAAATTATTTCTCGCCTTCACCAATACATTCTACGAATCGATCACCAAAACCAATTAATCGACAAACTTCATGGCAGCCTAAAATTGTTTCATCTGTTCAAATGTCACCAAACAGCATTAATCATAATCATCAACAAGAATACAGGACTCATGGTTATTTGGAGACTCTATCAAATAATAATAATAAAGAACCAACATCAATTGGAACTAAACATAACATTTCACCACTTCCATATGGACAATCCCCACCAGCACCAGGAGAAAATCTGATCACAAAAGTCGGTGAAGGACGTTACAGAAAAATCAGTCATTCATCATATAATTCACCTATGGGTTTATATAATCAAAAAAATCGAAATCAAACATTTGAACAAACATTATCTAGTGCTACAGGTAATCAACTTGATGGTGCAACACCTCAGGCACCACCATCTACACCACCATCAATGTATTGTGGATCATGTGGAGGTTTTATCCGTGGTGTTTTTGTGAAAATCCAAGGTCGTGTTCCAATGCATCCTGAATGCCTGAAATGTTGCAAATGTGGCATAGGTTTACGTAATATTGGTTATTTCTATATTAAAGAACAATTGTATTGTGAAACTCATGCGAAACAAGCTGCTCCACCGCCTGAACCTGGCATGAAAGCTGTAGTTGTTTATAAATAAAAAGGTGAATGCTTTTAAAACAGAACAATAATAATAATAATGTAAGTTCCGTGAAAGATATTTAAACTTGCTATTTAGTATAAAGATATGAAAATCAATTCAGTGAATTTTGCATGTGTTAAAATGATTAATATCATATGTTGTTCAAGTGATTAGTTTAGGGAAATCTATGCTAAAATCATTTGAATATATATATATATATATATATATATATATATATATATATATATATAATTCAGCAATTAATTAGTTAAATAATAATACTTATAGCGCTAGAAATATTATTATTATTGTTATTATTGTATTTAACAAATCAATACTTGAATGTTCTTTCCTTTTTTGGGTTTTGTGTGTTGAGAAGACAAAAATGGAAGATTATTCAATTCTTCTTAGATTAATCCATACACTTCATAAATCATATGACTGTTAAATTAATTTTTTCTTCTTATTATTTCAGCCCTCTTTTTGATTATAAGTTAACTTTTTTGCCTGGAAAATTCAGAATTCCTTTTATTTTTTTTTTCATGTTTCATTCTACTTATTTCACAATGTATGTAATTATTATCTCCAATACTATTTACTATTATTGATAATAATTATAAATCTGTAATTATTTAGCTATTCGAAAATTCATTTTATTGCTTAGATTATTCTTAATTTGATTGAAGTATGTACCCTTGAATATTGATTGTATCCGGTCATAAAATAATCAGTTTAGTCGTTTCCCAGAAATGTGTTAATGAACACAAGATCTGATTGCCTATTCACTTCTAAATACCCCAGAATAAATCTACACTGCATCTTCAACACAAGATAAAAAGGAGCTAAGTACGAAAAGAATGATTCACTCCAAGCTTCGTTTATGTGTAGAAAATGAGAGAATTTTTGGAGTTACTTATGACCTTGGGTTTCTTGAAGATTCGAGAACTAAACTAAACGTGTTAGCGGTAAGAATCGTGACATGTGATCCTGCATTTTCCAGATGTTTCTGCTTAGGTTCTATTCACTCTTTATTAGATGAAACGTTTCCTGTTGCCTCTGGTCGCATAGAAAATTTTCCGATTAACATTTTGAGATTCACTCAACATTATCAAGTTTATTATTATTATTATTAATTCAATGAAGACAGTAGGAAAGAACTTATCTTGAATCATGTCCTGTTAAAATATGACAAATAATTCGATTTATTTTACGGAGAACGTTTTTATTTAAATTATCTGCCTTAAATACTTAAGTCATTTTATTATGAGTTTGAATATAAGAATTTATATTGACGCTGCCTAGGCGAACGACAAAGGGAAAAAAAAAATTATTTTCCCCATAACATTAGATATTTGGGGGAGGGAAATATCTATTCATCCCCTTTACGTTGACTATTTGGGGTAAATTCTTTGAGTAGGGAATTCGTGTGAAGTACCAAGCTCAATTATCCTGAAGCTCGCTACATAGATTTTCAGAAATCTATCACAGAAATAATTTCTATTTATGATCTCATCACAATAATAGTATATAGGTATTGAAAAATTACAGAAAGTAATTCACTAAAAGTATATCATTTGCCTACACAACTGTTCAGACATGATGGGTGGCAAGCATAAATGCTGCACCTCATGCAAGTAAGTCTCATAATCTCGGAGTTTTCATCTTCCATCACTAATTGTCTCCTCTGTGCTATAAGATGAAATTAATTTTTTATTGTTTGCACTAACACAATAATGTGGACGAACTGTCCATTTGCAGTAGATCAAATGAACAGTTATGGCCTACATTAGTACACATAGTTTCCACCAGGTTTAGTGATGCGTTTGTGATAGGTGTCTACTGAGAAGGAGGTCGAATTTAACGAATTTTCTGCTGACACCACTTCTGAAATCACGTACTGTGGGAAACTACTTCAGCTTAGTAAATATATAAAACGTTATGATTAATTAACAGAATTTTCAACTATTGATTAGGCAGGTTTAAACCTTAATCCGTGTACCGTGGTTCCAATGGTCATTTAGTTTTTTTTTCTTTAGCCGTTATACAAAACGTTCGATTTAAAGTTGGTTCACCTAAAATACTTATAATAATGATTTGCAGCTAAAATGCATATTTCTAGTAGTGGTGAAACATTTTGGATTGGATCGTTTAATGGAGAAACTGCCGTTGCTTTTCGAGACAACATAATTAAATTTACTTCTTTCAAGTTGTTAAATAATAGTCATTTTGTTCACAATAACAAGGAATCTTTCATAATTAGACCATTTAGATAAAAGAACTCTACACTACTTAACATACGAATTCATGAATACGTTCAGCGAAGAAAAGTTTCGTTACATGGAAATCATTTACTAGAGTTGTACAATCGTACTTATAGTTATTGTTATATACAGTGGTCTATGATAAAACATTGAACTACAAGATCAAGCAGAAGTGAAAGTTACGTAAGAGTAAAAGATTAATAAAAATGAAATAAGGTATGGAAATGAAGTATGTAAGAGTATCTACTTAGCGATTATAAGGAAGATAAAAGTATGAACGAATACGTGTCAAAACACGATATAGAATTGATTTTTTGAAATATAATTATCCACTCAAAAAATCGAGGCAAATAAAGAAGGGAAAGCAAACACATCAAGAAAATAACTAACAAAACAGGAAGGGATGATAAGACTATGGTAGACAAGTTAATTAAATATACTTTTCCCAAACATAAAGATCAATTATTAATTAATAAATTCCCAAAGCAAACAGTATCTATCTTATCTAGCTTCCACTAGAACAAATTCATCTAACATTGTGAATAACTTTGAATGAAAGTTCTAATGTAGGTAGATAGCCAGAATGAATTAGATGTGCCACAAACAAGCTGTTGGTTAGTTTGGGTTCACGTTTTGATAATCTTGTTGGATAGTACCTGAATATGCGTCTAGGAAGAGCACAAGTTTTTCAGCCAACATACCAAGCTTTACAAGAGCAAATAAACTGTTAGATACACATCGAGGCTGCTCAAATCGATTGCTTATCCTTGACACATTCTCGCATAGGACATCTGACGAAAATATACGGTTTGTATTGCAACTAAATAAAGAGTCTTCAGAAATTCTGATGATCGACTTCGTAGAATCTCTGAGACTGTCTCCTTTAAAATCGATTTTCATGTACAAAATTCTGTTTAGTACGGTAGTAGTTCTTTCAAATTACACTTTCCTTCAGGTTTCGCTCAATGAACATGAGAGGAAATTCATTTTCCATAAATATCTGTCTGGTTTTATTTAATTTTACTCTGATTATGTCTTCTGGATAGATTTTGCTAGTTCTTGAAGACAGGGAATGTATCGAATTTCTCTATATACTCAGTGGAACCTGTTATATCTGAACGAAAATTAAAGTTACAGTAGGTTAGGGAATCAGTTCATATTCTTATTACATAAAGTTTAATTAATTTGATTATCAAGATTATATATTCCTTTTGTCATAAGCTTTCCGTTAACCTACGAACTATTATCATACGATCTTATTGTGTCGCCTGTTTTATTATTTACAGTCTCTCCTACTCACAGACACCTTTAACTCATTCATATAAAATTAATATTCTTAAGTTTATGGAGTGATCTAGTCGAATATGTCTGTTTATAAAATGAGTACATTTGAAATATATTATTCGTATAGTGGAGACTTTTTTCTGATTTCTGGACTCAAAGGGCAGGATTTTGTGAAGCTAGAAAATCGTGAACCTATTAGGAACTCATTCGCTAACGTAAAGATATTAGAGCTGACAATTATTCCGATTGGTGCTTCCGTCATATAAATTTATTCAGAGGCTGAAAATCTGAACCGGACTCAACTTTTGAAGTCTATTTAACGCCTCTTTAATGTTGCGTTTGTATAAACCGAGGCGTTTAGTATTCTCCGGAGCAAAACATTTAGGAAATGAAATTCTGCGTTTGTCTCTCAGGTGAGTGTAACTGACACACTGAACACCCACAATATTTTATTATGATCATTAGTGCCACTAAAGATAATAAAAAGTACCAACTGTATATCGCTCTCAGAAATAAAAACTACCAGTTATCGATCGAACAACAGTATTCTCTAAATTTGCCAAGCAAAATTCCTGTAACTACGCCATCAATTTACCGAAAAAATCATCAGTAGATCTGAATTAAACTTTAAGGGTGCTATCTGAGATAGTGGTTTGAGACATATCAAAAACGATAGCGTTACTTCTTGCATGGTCATCATAGTGATAGATTTTCTCTGTGAGAGGAGTATTTTAGAAGAACGAGATGAGACCTAAACAAATTATTCTATTCCCGGAGACATTTGTGTTAGCTATCGAACCGAAGAATGTAAAGCGTCCAAGGATTCCATGTTTACTGATTGTATTTCTGACTGACTCAGAAATCTTCATCAAATAATTGGTTTGTTGAGTTATTTGTATTTATCGTAAATTAGAGGGAAATATATTTCTTATGTACTTTTAGAAGCTAATAAAGCCGTCCTGTAGATTATTTATCCATCTTTTTCGAAATTGTTATCGATTTCTGTTTCATTTCATAGTCTGTACAATTTTTTCTTGCTTTATGAACTACATAAAAATTACAAGGGAGAATGAATAAATTTAACAAAAATTTGCAATGCATCATGACTTGATCAGCTGATCAAGTAATAAATATTGTAGTTACAATGAATTTTTTTTAAAGCATCAAGTATACACAAGGTTGAAATTATTATAAAAAAGAAGACCATTGAACAACTGTTTCATCAATCTCTGAAGCGATATGGATTCTGTTAAAAATAACATGTTTGATATTTTAGCGACTAGGGATCTGAGTCCAATTTATGAAAATGGTTAGAATGCTATGTAGTAAATCTTCCCTTCGATTTTTATATATTATTCTTAGGCAAATCCCGTTTATACGACAGTGGTAACTAAAAGTCCAGTACGGTTTGTGTTGGATGAATTTATTTCATGCATTAATGTAAGCAGACAGACAATTAAGAGAGTTGTAAAA